AAAGTATGTTTATTATTCTTAAGACTACTCATTGTTTTTTAAAGTAACAAACTAACACTGTTACCACTTTCATAATTGAAAACTTACATTCTAAGTTCTTCAAACTTCCATTAGATTTTGCATTTAACTTCTTGGGCTTCGGGATAGGGGATGAAGAACTAATAAAGTGAACAGAAGGCAGCCATATCAGCAAATATTTGAAAGTTTTGAACAAATTTAGTTATCCCTGGAGAAAGTTGAGTTAGAAAGTACTCTAGGCACATAAATGAAAATGCTACCTTTAAAAAAAAAGTTATACTTTAGTTCTTTATTTTTTTAAAAAAATTCTCTTTAAGCTTAATTTCTCCTTCAAAAAGGCTGCATAAACACTTGGTGGTTTCTGTAATAATTATAACTCAACCCATATAGACTGATCCAATTTTTAAAAAGCTTTCTGCTTGGGGAGAAGATCATACTTGGAAAACTTCAGCCAAAAAAGTTTCATAAAATTATGAGGAACAGAAAGTTGGTATTGACTGGAACTCATTCTTAGCTATTACTTTTGTAGTATTTACAGTTAGTGGATGCTACAGGACAGATTGTGAAAGTATACTCCCATCATCTTAATTATTCCACCTCCAAAAGCAGTGATAGCTGTGACAATCTGAGAAGCTCTCCTGCCGACATAGTGCTGTCTACTGTGGTGCTTAAGTTGGTATAAGTCATGTCACTCAAGAGGTTGGCTAATTCATATCCCCTAAGAAATATCAAATGTCAACTTAAGTTGCCGCGTAGCAGCAGCTTCAGTCTATTCAACTCAAACAGATACTGGAACTTCTAGGCCAAAATAAAAGACACTGTTAGGGAATTGAGAATTTGGTATAATAGACTATATAAAGGGATAGATAATTAGTGTATATTCATTTTCCATACTAGATTTTGTGTGACAGTATTAAAGTAGCAGTTCTCATTTGAAGATATTATAATGTTTGTATTAGTTTTACTGACTAGATTAAGTCTGTAGTCACAGAAGCTTAAATATTATTATTTTGGACAGTTATTATAGCTTCAAGATTAGAGAGACAAGATGGGTGGGGTAATATTTTATTGGCCCACCTTCTGTTGGTGAGAGAGACACAAGCTCTTGAGCTTCAGAAGAGATCTGTCCAAGCTTGAAAGCTTGCCCCTTTCACCAACAGAAGGTGGGCCAATAAAATAGAGGTTCTCAAACTAGGGGGAGCAGAACATTTTCTGGGTGTGTGTGAAAGAAACTTTAGGAGAGCAGCAGCTGCCAGCTGGGCCCCGATCTCTGATGGCAGCACCACTGCCAACGCTAGCAATGCCACGCATGCCATGCCATGCCATCCTTATCTCTGCGCTGCTGTTCTCAGCATGCTTGTTGCTTGGCCAGTAGCCACCATTTATATGTGGCTTTCAGAGCTGAGAGGTGGTATATGAGTGGTGGGGACACAAACAATTAGATACAAAGAAGAGGGCATGATAAAATAAGTTTGAGAACCATTGCATACATGGGACCAGCATGGCTACAGCACTGCACACAACAATGGTAGTTTCAGGATTCGTGAGTTTGGATGGGAGGGAAGAATTTAGCCTTGAGGATTGCAAAGGAGAACTATGGTTCAGTACTTCAACTGGAATTCAGTCTCTCTGTAGTGTAGCTTGTAAGGTTTTTTAACTAATACTTCTAAACACCACATAAACTTTAGTATAGAAAAAGTCCGTAGGAGGAGTTTAGCTTCCAATCATGACCAGGTAACTTGTTTTAAAGGATGTTTACGCCCTGTTTACATTGGTGCAAAGACTTGTCTAAAACTGTCTCAGAGCGGTGGCCATGTTATCAGGGCTGGCTTTAGGAAGTGCAGGACCTAATTCGAACAGTTTCAACAGGGCCCCAGCAACCAGGAATTTCCCCTCTCCCCCACCCCAACAAAAAGTCACAGCCCCTTTAAATCCCCAGCTATAGGGCAGAGTCATGTCCCGCCTTCCACCAAACCCCAGGGTCGACCACCCTCCCAACCCCTGCACTCGACTCATCCCTCCTACAGCACAGGGAAGCTGCTGCACTCCTCTTCCAGGGCCAAACCCCTCTTCTCCCCCTCCCCACCCCCGGCAGCCTGCCCAGCACACCAGCACACTTCCGGCTTAGGGTGCGGGGCCCTCTTAGGCGTGGGGTCCAATTTGGGGGAAATCGGTCGAATAGGCCTAAAGCCGGCCGTGCATGTTAGTTTGTAACTTTAAAAATGGGTAGTCTTGTGGAACCTTGCAGACTAACAAAAATACATAGTATCATGAGGTTTCACGGGTAATACCCACACCACCCACTCATCTTATAAAGTGGATTTTACCCACAAAACCTTATGATATATATTTTTGTTAATCTCTACAGTGCAACAGGACTACTCATCTAAAACTGCTACTTTAAAAAAAAAAGAAGAGGGGAACTTTGTTAATTTAAACAAAGCTACAGAGTAAGTGTCACAATTAGCAATAACTTTCTAAATCAGGCCTGGAAAAAATACCCTCTTGGGGCTGGATCTGGCCCGCCAAGCCACCAGATCTGGCCTACAGATCCCTGCTGATAAAAGCAGGTGTGGCAGGGCTGTCTGAACAGTTGTGTGCAGGGGGTGTTTGCACACTGCTCCCACTTCCAGCACAATCCCATTGGCCAGTTTCTGGCCAATGGGAGGTACCTGTTGTCAAGAGGCAGCTTGGGAAGCACCCTTCCCGCCTCCCCCCAGGCTCCTAGCTGTTCAAAAATCACATGGCCCTGCAGCCAGCGTAGGACAGGGCAGGGAGGGAGTCTGCTTGGGAAGGCTGCTGGCTGGGAGTCAAGCAAATAAGTCTCCCAGCCAGAGCCTGCCTCTGGCACCCCAACCCTTTTGCCCCCTCCACACCCCACATAACTCAAAATGTCTGCCCCCTCCTTCTGCACCCATGTCCCCTCCCAGATTCCATATCTCAATCCCTTGCCCCAGGTCAGAACCCAAAAGACTGCAACCTAGTCCCCTTCCCCAGGTCACACCTCAAAACCCTGAACCCTAGTCCCCCTAACCCAGGTCACCATTGACAACTTCACCCAAACCTCCCACTCTCTCCTGCACCCCAGTCCCTTACTGTAAGTTCCCTTCTGCACCCAACCTCCATCCCAGACCCCACACCTCCTCCATTAATATGGAAGAGTGCAGCCCTTGACCACTGTTCAAATTCTTGGAGTGCCCATCAGAAATTATTGCCCACCCCGCTCTAAATTCGAGCAAAAACAAAATGAGTACTGTGGCACTTTAAGACTAACAAATTTATTAGGGAATAAGCTTTTGTGAAATACAACTCACTTCCTCAGATGCTGAAAACAGAAGAGGAAGGAATGCAGAGATATTATGAGTGGTACATGAGTGCTAGTTAAATCAAAGTGGATTTCTAAATTCTGATTCTTGTTCATGTATCCTTCATCTACATGACATACTGAAAGTTGGGGAAACAGTTTTTTCTGAAATATGAATAATTTAGAAAATGGAGGTATTCAAAGAAATAAATATCTACTGTTCTCAAATGGGGCCTTTTACACACATTTGGTTCACCAATTATAAACAAGTTAAAAATCAAAATCACTGTATTGTGAAGCCACAGTAATTGTTCTCCATACATAAGCACATTTCATTAAAATGCATTATATTATTTTCTCAATCTGGATATAAATAACAGCTACCAATGAACATTCTAAGCAGCAACAGTGCTAAACATGACAACTTTCAAACAACTAATCAGAAGTAAAACATTTTTAATAAAAAAAAACCAAGCACTGAAAAATCAGAAGTAAAACATTTTTAATAAAAAAAAAAAACCAAGCACTGAAACCAACCAACCAACAACTAAGTGAAAAAATATGCAGTGCTCAGCCGCTCATTTAGATCATGAGGGGAGGGAGGGACAGTCTCTTACTTTCTAACACAGTGGTTTTCTTTAGAACAGTGGTCTGTTCAATGATAAACCAGAGTCTGCAGACTATAGTTAAGATTTCAGAGGAATTCACACCTCTGTTTGAAAAATGTTAAGGATCTAATCATGAAAAAAAATAACTTTGAAAACCACTATTCTAACACAATAGGATCTTTATTAGGCCACTGAGTGCTACTATAAATATTTGTATTCACTACATACATTTTGTATTCATTATTAGGCCACTGAGTGCTACTATAAATATCTGTATTCACCACATACATTTTGTATTCAAACTGTCCCATTCCTCACATGAGCAAACTCTTCACACAGGTGCAAAATTTCTGATAGTTAGTGGAGGCAGCTAACTGTGGGATAATAGGCTCAAGGGTGGCTTAGATAAAAAAAGAGAGAACTGCAAAGACTCCAAACTACTTTAAATATGATCTAATAGCAAGATACACTGGCCTACTACACTTTTTCCTGTTTTCTTCATCTGCCTTTACTGAAAGAGTTAATGTAAGAGGCATGAAATTTTTTTTTAAATATTAAATTTAAAAATAAGCTAGTTTTGAAAGTGACATCTGTTAAACTCAATATTTTAGTATCCCTTCTCAGTCTTGCCAAGACAGGTTGTTTCACTTCCTTTAAATCGGACTCTTCCTAAAATTAACATATAACAATTCCACTCCCAAATAACAAGGTCTATTTAAATACTGCTTATGGGGAGGCTGGGAACGCTCATACTTTGGAGAGCACATGAGGGGACTGACCCACACTTTGTTCCAGCACTGTATATTTTCCTCCCGAAACAATCATTACAATTACCTCAGATTTACAAGTCAAGCAATTTATTTTAACCAATGCACTAACAACTGATGCATGACATCTTCCACCATGTAAACTAATCAATGGAATCGACTTGTCGCTTTTCTTCCTGTGTATTAGTGAACCCATTTCATTCTGTTTGGCTTCTTACTATTTCTTTGTGTTCCTATATAATATTCCTATAAGAGTTTATTTATAATGTATTATATAAGAGGGACTATTTAACAAAGACAAACCTGAAGTCAAACCAGTCAGCGTGTGTCAGCCACAAGCAGGCGCGAGGGGATACTACTCCCAAGTCAGGAGGCGCACGGTCTATGCCCACGCTGAGATCCGTGCAAAGCCTGGGTCCTGGGGAACCGCTAATGTAGGTGCGCGCACACACACACTTGTAAGGATTATCTATGTGGGATGCCCACAAACAATCCCCCCTCCCAACCCCCACCCCGCTGCTCCCCTGGGCTGTCCGGCCCCACACTCTCTCACGT